AGTGAGTGCGGTGGTGTCAGCCTAGCTCACAACAACCTCACACTCCTGGGCTCAAGCGATCCTCCTGCCTCAGCCTCCCTGAGTAGCTGGGCTACAGGCATGCACCACCATCCGGCTAATTTTTTGTATATATATTTTTAGTTGGTCAATTAATTTCTTTCTATTTTTGGTAGAGATGGGGTCTCGCTCAGGCTGGTTTTGAACTCCTGACCTTGAGCAATCCACCCGCCTCAGCCTCCCAGAGTGCTAGGATTACAGGCCTGAGCCACCGCGCCCGGCCTTTTTTTTTTTTTTTTTGAGACAGGGTCTCACTCTGTCGCCCCAGGTAGAGTGAGTGCAGTGGCGTCATTGTAGCTCACTGCAATCTTAAACTCCTAGGCTCAAGTGATCCTCCTGCTTCAGCCTCCCAAGTAGCTGGAACTATAGTGTATGCCATGATGACCGCCTAATTTTTCTGTTTATAGTAGGTCTGTTTTCAGTAGGCCAGGCTGGTCTCAAACTCCTGACCACAAGCAATCCTCCCACGTTGGCCTCCCAGAGTGCTAGGGTTACAGGCTAAGCCCCTGCACCTAGCCCACAATATGTATTTTTTCATAAGAAAAAGAATAAGATTGGCTGGAGCGGTGACTCACACCTGTAATTCTAGCACTCTGGGAGGCAGGTGGATTGTTTGAGCTCAGGAATTCAAGACCAGCCTGAGCAAGAGCAGGACCCTGTCTCTACTAAAAAAATATAAAGAAATTAGCTGGACAACTAAAAAAAAACAAAAACAAAACAAAAGAAAAACAAACTAGCTGGGCATGGTGGCACATGCCTGTAGTCCCAGCTACTCAGGTGAGCCCAGGAGTTTGAGGTTGCTGCGAACTAGACTGACACCATGGCACTCTAGTCCAGGGAACAGAATGTGAGACTCTGTTTTATAAAAAAAAAACAAGAGTAAGATTATTTTTTACAAGTTTGGCACTAGTTTAAAAAGGTTCAAAACATCAGTTTAACAGGATTTGAATGGTAATGGGCATATAGTTTAGGCTGACTGAAGTTCAAGACTTTGTGTAGATACTCATTCTAAGCATCCCACCATTGGATTTATAAAATATAATTGGGCAACCTTTCACATAATCATAAGTTAAAAGTTGAAAATTAACTAATGATGGGCCCAGTGACCTCCTGATAAACGAGTTAAGGTTAGTTAGGGCAAAAATGCAAGAGTATTTCATCATCTTTTCAATGTCTTTTTGGTAAAGTGTGAATCAGGAAATACACAAAAGGCAAGGAAACCATCACTTATGCGATTTTTTCTAAGCTCAGGTATTCTTTTACATGTACTAAATGCAAAAGAAAATACGGAACAGCAGCTACTTTTATAAGGCAACAAAAATTTCACATCACAATAAATATACTCCAGATTTCCTGTGCCAGGACAGCATATATTTAACTATTCTATTCTTATCTGTCAAATAAATTAGTTTATCGAGGCAACAGTTAACTTTCAACTCAAATCTGGTTTCTGAGCTAAGAAAGGATATCTGAGCTGAAAGAACCAAAAGAAGAGGCACGGAGGTAACTGCCACTTTGGGTCCTACTCCATCTGCTGGGGCCTTGCTCCTCCGGTGGTGTGACCCAGCATAGAGGGGAGCCTGCCAGGCTGGGCTCAAGTCCAGGCTCTTTATTCACTGGGTGACCCTGGCAAGTCATCTGGCCTCTCTGGACCTCAGTTTCCTTGACTATAAAATGGGGGGGGGCACCAATCCATTAGGGTTAAACAAAAATAGTGGTGCCAGGAACTCAGAAAAGCTCAATAAACAGGGCCATTATCACTATATTCCTGGGTCAAAGGTTCCCTGGATCCAAACCGCTGTCCAGGTTCCTTAGAACCAACGACCTCCGAGAATCTTCCTCTCAATTTCTGGATGAGAAGTGGAGGGGACGGAGAGGAGTGGCTAGGGCTCAGAGCAAGAGAGGAAGCCCCCAGCGCTGGAGGAGCGAGGGCAAGGAGAAGAGGGCCAGGGCAGAACCGGGGTTGCGGGGTGTAGGGCTGGGGTGGGGCGGGGGCGAGGGTGGGTCCAGGCCTGGGACAGGAGAAGGCCCTGGCGGAGGATAATGGTGGGTACCCAGGGGTGCAGGCCAGGGCCAGAGCTCAGGTGGGGAGGGTGGAGGGCTGGGCCCGACGTGGGGTGCGGGGCTAGGGCCGGGGCTCAGGTGGTGTGGGGGGAGGGCTGGTCTGCGTGGGGCGGGCCAGGCGGGGTGGGGAGGGCTGGGTCCGATGTGAGGTGGGGACAAGGCCGGGGCTCAGGTGGGGTGGGGGAGAGCTGGATCCGATGTGAGGTGGGGGCGAGGGCCGGCTAGGTGGGATAGGGGAGGCTGGATCCGATGTGAGGTGGGGACGAGGGCCGGGGCTCAGGTGGGGTGGGGGAGAGCTGGGTCCGACGTGAGGTGGGGGCGAGGGCCGGGGCTCAGGTGGGATGGGGAGGGCTGGGTCCGATGTGGAGGTGGGCAGGCCGGGGCTCGCTGGATGGGGGGAAGGCTGGTCCGATGGGAGTGGGGCGAGGCCGGGCTCAGGTGGGATGGGGGAGGGCTGGTCCGACATGTGAGGTGGGGGCGAGGCAGGGCTCAGGTGGGTGGGGGAGAGCTGGTCCGATGTGAGGTGGGGCGAGGGCCGGGCTCAGGTGGGGTGGGGGGAGGACTGGGTCCGATGTGAGGTGGGGGCGAGGGCCGGGGCTCAGGTGGGATGGGGGAGGCTGGGGTCCGATGGTGAGGTGGGGCGAGGGCCGGGCTCAGGGTGGGGTGGGGGAAGGCTGGGTCCGATGTGAGGTGGGGCGAGGGCCGCTCAGGTGGGATGGGGGAGGCTGGGTCCGATGTGAGGTGGGGCGAGGCGGGGCAGTGGGTGGGGGAGAGCTGGGTCGCATGGTAGGTGGCGAGGGCGGGCTCAGGTGGGTGGGGGGAGATGGGTCGATGTGGGTGGGGCGAGGCCGGGCTCAGGTGGATGGGGAGGCTGGGCGAATGTGAGGTGGGCGAGGGCCCGGGGTAAGGTGGGTGAGGAGGACTGGTCGATGTGAGGTGGGGGCGAGGGCCGGGGCTCAGATGGGGGGAGGGCTGGGTCCGATGTGAGGTGGGCGAGGGCGGGCTCAGTGGGGTGGGGGGAGATGGGTCGATGTGAGTGGGGGCGAGGCCGGCTCAGGTGGGGTGGGGGGAGGGCTGGGTCCGATGTGAGGTGGGGGCGAGGGCAGGGGCTTCAGTGGGTTGGGGAGGGCTGGGTCGACGTGGGCGGGGCGAGGCGCGCTCAGTGGGTGGGGGGGAGGGCTGGTCAGACGTGGGGCGGGGGCGAGGGCCGGGGCTCAGTGGGTGGGGAGGACTGGGTCCGATGTGAGGTGGGGCGAGGGCCGGCTCAGGTGGGTAGGGGGAGGGCTGGGTCCGATGTGAGGTGGGGCGAGGGCCGGCTCAGGTGGGGTGGGGGAACTGGCTCCGATGTGAGGTGGGGGCGAGGGCCGGGCTCAGGTGGTGGGGGAGGCTGGGTCGATGTGATGGTGGGGCGAGCCAGGGGCTGCAGGTGGGATTGAGGCTGGTCGACGTGGGGGGGCGAGGGCCGGGCTCAGGTGGGTGGGGAGGCTGGGTCGGTGGGCGGGCGAGGGCCGGGCTCAGGTGGGGTGGGAGGACTGGGTCCGATGTGGAGGTGGGCGAGGCGCGGGCTCTGGTGGGTGGGGGAGGCTGGGTCCGATGTGAGGTGGCGGGCAGGTCCGGGGCTCAGGTGGGGTGGGGAGGCTGGTCCGATGTGAGGTGGGGCGAGGGCGGCTCAGGTGGGTAGGGGGGCTGGTCCGACGTGGCGGGCGAGGCCGGGCTCAGGGGTGGGAGGGCTGGGTCGATTGTGAGGTGGGGGGCGAGGGCCAGGGCTCACGGTGGGTGGGGAGGGCTGGTCCGACGTGGGGGGGGCGAGGGCCGGGGCTCCAGGTGGGTAGGGGAGGTGGGTCCGCAGTGGGTGGCGGCGAGGGCGGGGGCTCAGGTGGGGTGGAGGGCTGGGTCCGATGTAGAGGTGGGGGCGAGCCGGCGGCTCAGGTGGTGGGGAGAGGCTGGGTCCGACGTGAGGTGCGGCGCGAGGCCGGCTGCAGGTGGGTGGGGAGGCTGGTCCGATGAGGTGCGAGCCGGGCTCAGGGGTGAGGCTGGTCGATGTGAGTGGGCGAGGCCGCTCAGTGGGTGGGGGAGGCTGGGTCCGATGTGAGGTGGGCGAGGGCGGGCTCAGGTGGGTGGGGGGAGGCTGGGTCCGATGTGAGGTGGGGCGAGGGCCGGGCTCAGGTGGTGGGGGAGGACTGGTCGACGTGGGGTGCAGGCGAGGGCGAGGTCCAGGCAGGACCGGAGAACGCGGAGTGGCACCCGCAACAGCCGCCGCGTCCAGGCGCGTGGCACCTCGCGTCTCCTCAGGCGAAGTGCGCCTGGCCGCCCGGCGCGGGGGCTTTCGGGTCCGCCCGAGGTGCCAGTTACCAGACCGTTGGGGCCGATGATGCAGGTGACCTCCTGAAGGGGCCGATGAGCTGGCGGCCCGCCACGACTTGAAGTTCTCCACGAACAGCAGCTCCAGCGGCCCATGGCTGACCTCGGCGCCTCAGCAACGTCCCCACAACGCCGGCTAGAAAAGCGCCGGGAAGGGCCTCGCCAAATCTCGCGAGACGGAGCGAGCCCGCGGCGAGGCGGGCGCGGTTCCTTGACAACCGAGTTGTTGGGTTTCGAGGTGGCGGCATCTCTGCGGCGTCGGCGGCGCGGGCAAAGCCGACTGAGAGTCGCGGGGCAGATGCCTGTGCCACCGGCCCGACCTCCGAGTGCGCCAGCCTCTTCTAGGGTACAGCCTGCTTGCCTTTTGTTGTCTTTTATTCTTACCTTGCATGTTCTGAAAACCGCGTAGAATTTCCCGTCGGTTCCCAGAGCCATGGAGGTGGTGCTGCCCAGTGATCTGAAAGCGGTCCGCTAACCTGGCCAAAAGGAGACACGCGGACCTGTGCAGGCAGGAACGTCTCTTCAACGCCAGGACCGGATCATTGGGGTGAGGCCCGGGCCGAAAGGAAAGCGGGGAGCGAGTGTGGGGGCGGGGCGGGGGCGGGGGATAGGGACGCGAACTTTAGGAAGACACTTTTTTCTTTTTTATTCGTATATTATGGGGTACAGATTTTAAGGTTTCAATAAATGCCCCTTTCCCCCTCCCCCACAAGTTTCCAGCATGACCATCCCCAGATGGTACACATCTCATTATGTATGTATATACCGCCCCTCCCCCTCCCTGCCAATACCCTATTACTGTAGTACCTATGTGACCACTTAGGTGCTGCTCAGTTAATACCAGTTTGCTGGTGAGTATATGTGGTGCTTGTTTTTCCATTCTTGGGATACTTCACTTAGTAGTATGGGTTCCAGCTCTAACCAGGAAAATATAAGATGTGCTATGTCACCGTTGTTTCTTAGAGCTGAATAGTACTCCATGGTATACATATACCACATTTTATTAATCCATTCTTGGATTGATGGGCACTTGGGCTGTTTCCACAGCCTTGCAATTATGAATCGTGCTGCTATAAACATTCGAGTGCAGGTGTCTTTTTTTGTAGAGTGTCATTGGATCTTTTGGGTAGATGCCAGTAATGGGATTGCTGGAGCAAATGGTAGATTCACTTGTATCGCTTTAAGGTATCTCCATATTGCTAGGAAAGAAACTTTTGACCCAGGCACAGCTGCAAGCTCACCAGGGTGAGGGCATGGGCGGCATGGAAGGAACAGTTCGACCGTATTGACTTTGCCCAAGGTGGGAGAGACCTTAACAGGCCAAACAGTGTGCCCTGTCACTTGACAGATGGGCACTTGGGGACCCAGAGAGGAGGGCAGCTTGCCTGGAGTTAGTGGGGAAACAGAGATTAGATCTCGGTTCTCCTCCCTCCGAACCAGATTTTTTTTACATTACCAGGGGTTCCTTTCTGTTCGTGCCCTTGACAAGTACCAGCGGAATTGCTATTTTGTGCCAAGCCTGAGCCAGGTCGAGATGAGTAATAAGGCGGTCCCTGACCTTGCAGAGCTCATGGCCCAGGGGAGGAGGCAGACATTAAAATATTAAAATGCAAATTACATTAAAATCGTATTAAAATGTAGTGGAATCAGTACTGTGAGCGAGGTAAGCACTGGGGTGTCACCTGAGCGCAGACTGGGGCTGAGGGTTGGGGGAAGAATCAGAGAAGGCCTCCCAGAGGAGTTGATGTCTAAGGAATATTTTGAGGATGAGTATTTGTTAACTAAGAGAAAGGGGGAAGGAGAGGTAGGGTAAAGTTGAGAGCCAAAGAGTGTAAACAAAAGCATCCAAGTATGAAAGACCTGATATGTATGTACCTAAGACAACCCTTTTACAGTGGAGCAAGTCCAAAAAGATAAGTAGGATTCTTATCTACAGAACAAAATTATCTGGCTCTAACTCTTCTGTCTTGGTTTTACATTCCCAGGGAGACATAGAAGCCTGGAATTTTCAGCTTCGTGACCAGAAGATAAAAGAAGCAACTGAAAAAGCTAGACATGACACTTTTGGTGAGCATTTCCTGAATGCTTATCTGTTGGTATACAGCTGTGTGCCTTTAGACTTCAGTCTTTATGTAAATAATCGTCATTTTCACACTCTTCTTCCTTTTAAAATTTCTTGTGCTCGATTAACTTAATGCGCTACTTTTTTTTCTCTTAAAAGAAAAACAACTGGTGAATTCTAGTGTAGATGGCAGAAAATATATTTTTAGGATAAATGTATGTTTTTCTCTGTTTTCTTAAAAAAACAGGTAGGAAAAGTCTTAAACACACAGTTTCTCTCTCTCTGTCTCTCTCTCATCATCGCGGACGGAGCGAGCCCGCGGCGAGGCCGGGCGCGGTTCCTTGGCAACCGGAGTTGTTGGGGTTTCCGAGGTGGCGGCATCTCTGCGGCGTCGGCGGCGCGGGAAAGCCCGACTGAGAGTCGCGGGGCAGATGCCTGTGCCACCGGCCCGACCTCCGAGTGCGCCAGCCTCTTCTAGGGTACAGCCTGCTTGCCTTTTGTTGTCTTTTATTCTTACCTTGCATGTTCTGAAAACCGCGTAGAATTTCCCGTCGGTTCCCAGAGCCATGGAGGTGGTGCTGCCCAGTGATCTGAAGCGGTCCGCTAACCTGGCCAAAAGGAGACACGCGGACCTGTGCAGGCAGGAACGTCTCTTCAACGCCAGGAACCGGATCATTGGGGTGAGGCCCGGGCCGAAAGGGAAAGCGGGGGAGCGAGTGTGGGGGCGGGGCGGGGGCGGGGATAGGGACGCGAACTTTAGGAAAGACACTTTTTTTCTTTTTATTTCGTTATATTATGGGGGTACAGATTTTAAGGTTTCAATAAATGCCCCTTTCCCCCTCCCCCTACAAGTTTCCAGCATGACCATCCCCCAGATGGTACACATCTCATTATGTATGTATATACCGCCCCTCCCCCTCCCATGCCAATACCCTATTACTGTAGTACCTATGTGACCACTTAGGTGCTGCTCAGTTAATACCAGTTTGCTGGTGAGTATATGTGGTGCTTGTTTTTCCATTCTTGGGATACTTCACTTAGTAGTATGGGTTCCAGCTCTAACCAGGAAAATATAAGATGTGCTATGTCACCGTTGTTTCTTAGAGCTGAATAGTACTCCATGGTATACATATACCACATTTTATTAATCCATTCTTGGATTGATGGGCACTTGGGCTGTTTCCACAGCCTTGCAATTATGAATCGTGCTGCTATAACATTCGAGTGCAGGTGTCTTTTTTGTAGAGTGTCATTGGATCTTTGGGTAGATGCCAGTAATGGGTTGCTGGAGCGACGTGGGGTGCAGGGCGAGGGCTGAGGTCCAGGCCCAGGACCGGAGAACGCCGGAGTGGCACCCGCAACAGCCGCCCGCCGTCCAGGCCGCGTGGCACCCCTCGCGTCTCCTCAGGCGAAGTGCCGCCTGGCCGCCCGCGGCGCGGGGAGGCTTTCGGGTCCCGCCCCGAGGTGCCCAGTTACCAGAACCGTTGGGGCCGATGATGCAGGTGAACCTCCTGAAGGGGCCGATGAGCTGGCGGCCCCGCCACGACTTGAAGTTCTCCACGAACAGCAGCTCCAAGCGGCCCATGGCTGAGCCCTCGGCGCCTCAGCAACGTCCCCACACGCCGGCGAGAAAAAGCGCGGGAAGGGCCTCGCCAAATCTCGCGAGACGGGAGCGAGCCCGCGGCGAGCGCGGCGCGGTTCCTTGGCAACCGGAGTTGTTGGCGTTTCCGAGGTGGCGGCATCTCTGCGGCGTCGGGCGCGCGGGAAGCCCGACTGAGAGTCGCGGGGCAGATGCCTGTGCCACCGGCCCGACCTCCGAGTGCGCCAGCCTCTTCTGAGGTCACAGCCTGCTTGCCTTTTGTTGTCTTTTATTTTTACACTTGCATGTTGTGAAACCGCGGTAGA